CCAAAGGCTTCTTGCACATCCTTGACAAAATGGAAGCAGTCTTTAAAAGATGGCCAGTGGATATCCGTGGGATCTTCATAAAAAATTAAAATCAGGCTCATGATATAGTTTCCACTGGAGTCTATGAATGTAAGGGTAAGGGGTTATTGCTTGGGTGTGCATTCATTGCTGGTCTTTATTACTGAGAAAAAAAAAAAAAGTTAAGACTGTAAAGAAGAGACAACACATTGCATTTTTGAAGATTTCTTATTTTAGGTCACATAAAATGCTCATTTGTATTTGACATCATAAAATTAAGAGACCAAAATGAAAATATTTTGCTAAAATTATAGGAAAATAAACACTGCTTCTATGATTCTCCAGAGTGCACGAAACCCGTAATGTTATTGGTCATTTTGTGAGAGCACTACGTTTAACATTGGACAGTAAATTGCAGTTTACAAACAGTTTTCCAATTTGCTTTCATAATGTAACACTTTTCCAAGCTGCTCTACTCCACTGGGCATCCCTGTTTTGGATTATTTGTTCATTAGGTAACTCATGGATTCCTGCCAGTCCACTGGCCTCCCTGGAACCAGTCGTGTTTGCTAACCCTGTGCCTTTGTCTGTTTACAACCCTTTTAGCATTGTATTGTTTGAAAATTCAGCGTGATCTGACCTCTTATTCTAAATCAGCTGAACAAACAGGAACAAATTTGACACTTCCCTTGAGGAGACAAAACAAAACAAAACAAAACAAAGGCCAACAACCAGAAAATATATTGTTACATAATATGTAATAATTGCATCTATATGAACCTCAGATTGTGATATTATTGTTTAACAGTCACACACATAAGAAAATCAATTTCAATACTCAGTTGGGTATATTTTTATTCTGCAACAAAGCAAGATGAAGAGAAAGTTGGTCTGACAAAGACATGTCAGCCCAGAAAATGGTTCTGCTAGAGTAATCTCAACTTGTCACTGAGCTTGAAGTAGAAAACTGGCCTTAAAGCAAGCTTTTTAGCTAAGGTATATTGATTCATCATTACATGCTGCATGTTTCCAAGCTTCTGTGTTACACTGCAGAGCATCAGCAACAAAGCTGTATTAAATTTTATATAAATATCAAAAACTGCAGAGCTTCCCCAAGTAATTTATAATCCATAATAATGATAAATGCAATAGAGAAAACTCACTTCTTATAAATACTTAAGTCCTTTGTGAAATTTGCAGACTCTAGAATATCTGTTTCATCTGAATTTCCCTTTACTCCACTATGTTTTCTTTTATCTACAGATCACTATCCTCATTTTTTCTCATACCATACGTTGTCCACTACATTCTTCTTGCTTCTCTCTATCATGATTTGCATTGCCTACATGGTTCACTTCTAATTGTTCTTAATATCAGCAATCTCATTTCTTGCCTTGCTTCTGCCTGGCAACAGACCCCCACCTTTACCACTGTTGATCTAATTACTTCTTCTAGATTGGCATTTAGGAGAAATATTCATGTCTTTAGCAAGATCGATTAACAGCACACCTCAGAGAGCAGTGCTACTGCTAAAGGGGAGAACAATTAGTAGCTTATATAAATGGACAACTTCTGACATGATTAAAGTGATCTGTATAACTGTCACACTAAGTGAATGCTTTTAAAAGGCCTTTGTTCCTTTCCAGAAATGCAAAGCCACAGAAGAAAGTACCGTAGTTAACAAAACTGATATTGATATTCAAGAACTGGGCAGATTTCCTATGCTGTAGAAACTGAATTGTTTAATTCTTCTGTTTTTCCTTGTTTTGTATTTAAAATGTCGAAGGAGAATGTCCTTAGCATGATGACTTGGAGTGGGACAGTTCAGAGGAAATCCCCAATTAAAACAATGATTCATTGGTGATGAGTCAGTTAGAATTTGTCCCAGCATTAGGCCAGTGCAGGGCAGATGGCAAGCCTGCTGGTTTGTGTGGTGAAGAGCCAAAATACAGTCCCAGATATTTCAAGCAATTAAAGAAGCCAAAGTAATTTTCATAAGAAAAAAAGATTTTGCTATGAGCCAGCCATGGTTTTTCATTGTCATTATATATACATATGAAGTGACAATATACATATAATATAATCATATAATATATATATATATATATATATATATTTATGTAAATTTCCTCCAAGGATTTTCAATTAAAAACTTTTTTTTTTTAATTAATTTATTTATTTTAGCAAAGGACAAAACTATGAAGAACTTTCCTAATGGTAGTTTAGTGTAAACCAGATGCAAGCAGGTGAATGTGAAACTTGAAGGCTGAAACAAATGCTTAGGGTTTTTGTTTGGTCCCTGTTTCCACTCCCATCCATGGAAGAGATCCATGGATGAAGTAGAAGCAATATTCAGCAATCCAGGGAAGATCTGAATATAGAGATTATAAATGCAAAATATTTCTGCATCCGACAGGAATGACATTGAGGATATAGGATCTATGGAGGAAATAGGTCATTGAGGTGTATTTTGATCAAAAACCAACCAACCAACCAAACAAAAAAACCTCAGTGTACACACTAAGTGTGTAGAAAAAACTCTACCTTTAGTTTTCAGTAAGCTCAATAGAAATGGAAAACCTTCTTCCATTAACCTAGGTACCCAATTCATTATTTGCAGCATGGAGTTATCTCTAGAAAGAAAACTCATTGTTCTGAGGTAAAATATTTGTGATTTATGTGTTTATTTTCTGTGCATCAGTTCATGGCAGATATTTTTAACACTGCTTCAAGAGTTCTGGACACAAAATTTTATAGTATCTTCTGCCTAAATGGTAACTAAATGTTAAGGGTCTTGTAGCTCTTTGGTAGGAAAGCTGTCATACATATGAAGTCATATTTGGACTACTGGGCATATGATTAAACAACATCAGTAATCCCTGTCTCTTACTTTATCTCTTTCTCGTCCTTTCCTTCCTCTGACTCTGAAAAAAAATTGTATACACATTTGTGTAGTCAAGGAGAAATTCAAGCCAGAAGCTTGTAAGCTGCTTGTTCAGCTATGTTGTACCCATAGTTTAAATAACAAAAGCTGTGTATGAGGCCTTGGTTAGATCCTGCAAAACCTTTACCACACTAGTAAGCCATAGCACTTTCACACACCAAGTTGCATTTTCTGCTTTTGCTACAAGCTCAGGCAAAAGCAGCTGGAATGAGGAAGGGGGAGTTATGAGATATCAGTAAATTTCAGTGTTATCCAGTGTGCCAGCTAATTCTAGCTGTAGTCAGTGTTCATTCAAGCACAGTCAGCTGATCTACACTATTGCCATGTACTAGTGGTAGGAACAGTGAGATCTTTTGAGGTAGAGGTAGCTGGAATAGGCAATCCTTGTATGCAGATGGCTGGGTAAACATTTAGACAGGGAAACAGTGAGCCATATTTACAAATATATCAAAGAATCTGTGCTTTCATCTAGCAGTCTCAAAGAAAACATTATTTTAGCAACATGAAGAAGAGGGTCCCTCATAAGAAAAACAAATTCCTACCACTCTTGACACATTACACCAAGAATCAAATTTATGGAAGCAAATTCATTCCTTAAAATTGATAATGATTTCTTTTTCCATGGACAGAAGAGTCCAGATTCAGTATCCAAGTGCCCTGCTAAATGTTATTGAGGAGATTGCTTCAAAAAAAAAAAAAAAAAAAAAAAAAAAAGTAAAGCCCCGTTGTGATTCCCCACTTCTCATGCTTCTCCCAGTTCTCTCCTTTGGGCAGCATAACCTGTTTTGTTCCATGATTTGTTCTTGAGTACTTAAAGCAATTGGGCAACAAGGTGAATGTGCCTTAGGCTAACTGCATTCATCTTGGGACCATGGTCTGCTGGCCTAACTTATCTTGTATACTACAGTTTAAACAGATGCTGGACTGAGATTCTCAGCCACAACACAGAGGTTTCTTATTGCATTCTCTTGTTTGCCCTTCCACGTGGCTGGTTCATCTGGCTGTTAATCAAGATATCATCCTTTAAGGGACAAAAAAAATAATTATTTTGTTATCACAAGAAACCTAGTGCGGAAATGCTGTTCTTTTCATGACTTTACATAATAGTTTGAAATATGTTCCTAAGTATTTGGAGTCATCTAACTCCTCTTCTGAGAGCCAGGTCAGGTCTGTGTCATTTCAATTACCATTTTGAAAGTTTCTTATAATAGTGTTGTTTTTTGTTTTTTGTTTTTTGTTTTTTTTTTTTTTGTCTGTTTGTTTGTTTGTTTGTTTTCCTCAGTGCTAGAATGCAGTGCATGAAAATATATAGGATTTTTTGAGTTGATTAGAAGTACAGTATAGATGGATAAAAGAAAGCAGAATTCATGGATGCCTCTTTGCCTTTCTATTGCAATGCCTTACATTTTTTTCATGATTTTTTTAATGTGAAATTATGAAGAAAACATTTATATTACGGTTTTAAGTGAAATATGCTCCCCAAAATGTTAAATTTATTTAAATTGAAGAACAGGTAGGGACTTATGAAAAGAAAACTGTAGTCTCAATTCAAATACATCTCCAAGTTCTAAACTCAACTACTCAACTATTTCCCCCCCCCCCCCCAAAAAAAAAATAAATGTTATTGATGATTCGTATTACAGTAGCATTGTCACCTACTTCTTATATGGCAAAACATGATGTATAGCCAGTATATATACAGAAGCTGAGAAGCTTGCTGTTTCTGGCTGTTTACATTCTCAGGGTATGCTTGAAATACAGTTCAAAGGTATATCTGTAGTTCACACACTTAAGTTGATTTTAAGTGGTCTAGGTCAAGCTTAGAAAATAATGCAAATGACCTACCAAAGACATTGGGTAAATTGTATAGTTAAATGCCTTGTCCTGGACTGCTGTTGGGAATCTGTCAGTATCTGATCTGTATAGGCTAATGCAAATTAGGCAAATTTTCCTTGAAAAAGACTGAATTGGCTCTCCAAACAACTTTTATGCACCATAAAATATAATTTATATTAAAGTCATGAAGCCACACATGATATGAAGTTGCAGGCTTTATTCAGTTCCAGTCCTGAAAATCCCCTCCAGCTTGAAAGTTTCCTGCTTAAAAATTCCCTTCTTGCTAGAAGCTAGATACAACTTATATATGCATGCTATATATATTAACAGATCCTCAAAACACAAAGGCTAGAAGGAAAGAAAAGATCAACAAAGAACTGATGTATACATCAGTGATTTCAACTCATTAACAAAGTCAAGTACTAAATCCAGGTATTCTGAATCTTACACCTGCAGTCTGTGTATTCAAGAAGGGAGTTTAGTTATACCCGTGAGTGGTTTCTCAAGAACGTTTTATGAATAGAATTTGAAATAAGTACCCCAAGGTATAGCTTTAGTTCTTGTGTAATGAAAAGAAACAGAAATTATCCAGCTACTGAACAGACACAACATGTCTGAAGAAAGTTCATAATTAAAGATCAGAAGCCAAACTTGTATTTTGGCCTCCTAGAGATTTATTGAGTGATCTTGACAAGTTGCAGTTGTCTGTCTCCTGGTCCAGATACATGACTGTCCACAAGCACGTACGGAGAGTACTTCCTAAATGCAGTGGTGTCTGTGGAATGCATCTTTTATCTTGGAAGTCTCAACATACTTTCAGCAGCAAATCCGCACCTGTTTGCCTTCCTTGTTCATTCCTATCACTGCTTCAAAGGATCTTGCGCTTCTAAAGTGACCGCCTGTTTGCGGTGCTGTCTGTGTCCTCATGCAACTCCCAGTGAGTGCCGTGACAGAGGGTTACCAGCTGCTGCCACACACATGGCAATACAGACTTGAGGTGCAAAGACAAGGTGTCTTCTTACAGAGACATGCATCGCCACGTGGGAATGGGTTTGAGCATGATAGGGAGCTTAACTTGCATGGTAACTCATCACACTTATCAGTTGATTTTGTGATATTGTTGTCTGCTCTTTTTATTTTGCTCACTTCTTTCACAGATGAGCCACTTTCTTCTTGTATATTTTTATTTGTTCTCCCAAACAGGAATTATTCAGGATAAGCACACAACTTTTGCAGCACAGATCTCAGTACACTCATTGCTTGACAGGTAGCCTGATACTTCAGAAGGGAGAAAGCAAGTAAGTAAATGCATTAGCAAACACAGAGCCCCAAGAGAATGAAAATACAATCTGTTAGGACATTATATGAGATGATCTTGAGGTCTCTTCCAACCTAGAAATTCTGTGATTCTGTGATTCTGTGAAGTGGACCAAATGAACTGACTTGACATACCAACTGCTGCCTCGCAAAGTATAAGGTAAAAATATAAGGGTAACCACAGGTTACCCAAAACAGGCATACAGCTCCAGACAGGAACCTGAGTGTCTCCTGCTCATTATAGTTCTCCCAGTTTTAGGACTTTTAAGGGTAAGGAGAAATTATTATTATTATTTATTATTATTATCATTTAGTATAGATGTGGCCTTTAGATGTGGCCTTTAGATGTGGCCTTTAGATGTGGCTAAGGTCAACAATTTGGCTTTCATGAAAAATTACTTTTATACAGAATGAATAGGTTTTTGATAAAACATATCAATGTTGATGAAAAAGTTAGTGTCCTTTTTAACTAATTTTCACTTAAATATGAATCACTATTTTAAACTTAAAAGATAAAACTTAACCACAAAAGAGCTGAAGTTAAGCAAAATGCTTTAGACTTATGCTTAAGTCAAATGATCCATAATAAAGTATTTTCAAAATTCTTTTTTTGTGAAATAATTCTAAATTATGGTTTTTCAGTACCAGATGATGGCCTTTTAGTACTAATTTTAATTAATTATTTTTTTTTTTAATTGCTATTATTTCTTTTTAAGGAAGTCCTTTTTTTTCTTGTTTCTTTTTTCTTTTTTCTTAATGTTGGTTCTCAAGAGTAGCTGAGGCAACACCCACATAATCTAAATCTTTACTTGGGTTTTGACTTTTTTTTTTTGTTTTGAACCAGCATAGCAAACTGAAGAAAGTTCAAATGCTTCAACTTTTCATTGATAGACCTTACATTTAAGCTTTGTGTCATTTGTTGCTGCCTTCAAGGTCAAAGCATACAGAGAACTGTGGAGAGTCAGCTAATGACCTGTCCCCAGCCAAACACTCTCTGACTTTTCCCCTTGTACTCCTTCTCCATACTGCATCCCCCTCAAACTCTGCTCCCATATAGTACCATGAGGAAGGACTGACAAACTGAACCAGGACTGCAGTGAGGAGGAGGAGGAGGATGGCACCTCAAGGCCAAAAGTGCATAGCATTCCTGAGCTTGAATTTATGATGGTGGGCAAAGGAAGCCATGTTTCCTAGGGTATTCTAGCCACCTCCTGCCAGCCATACCCCCATCTCTACTCCCAAGAGTGGTCATGCATCTCCACTCAAAAATCCCTGACTTTCCTCTGGGTCTTGTTCCAAAGTTATTGAGCTGCTGCCCAGAGCAGAGGTGATAAGAAAAAAGTCTTTCAGAAGCGGTCAACATGTTGTGAACTATCTGTAATGTCAGAGGTAACTGGCTGGTGGGAGAATGGAAATTTAGAAAGATGTGTATAGATGAAACTGAAAACAACTGTTCATAAAGACATGCTCTCTCTAAAAAGACGTATATCATCAAAGAGTATGTAAAGAAGCATAGCTCATATTCAAGGTACACTTGCTAGCATGCACACACATACAGAGTATGTATATATGCATATATGTGCATATCATCAGAAGCTACTTCTCAGTTGTGCCTATCGAAATGGTGTCTGTGGTGGAAGCAAACCATCTGCTTCACTACACTTCTATTTTTAAGATCTGCAGTATGGCAGTGTAACACATGCAATGTCACTTCAAGCCCTCCTCCCCCAGATGAACTCCAATATGTCACTAGGTTGTCCTACCAGCTTTACGTTTTCTCTGTAAACAGAAACCCTATCTTCCTGCAGACTGAGTCAGCAGCTGTACTGGAGCAAGACCTATCTTTAAGACTTACAGAATGTGTAATTTGATGTCGAAAACCCCACAGGAGGGTATTTGCCACCTGACTCTGGAATGGACAGCAGTCGTTAAATGGGAGCTTCTACAAGGCTGTCTCCACATACATGGATGAAAAACTTCTGTAGCATTTGCTTTTCCAAGTCTGGAAGTAAACCCTCCATTTTAAACTATTTTTCTGTGAGTTCTGACCCTGAACTTTTCACCTGCTTGCATGCCATTTTAAGACTGATGTTCAATATGCATATCAGGTTTGAATATCTGATGTGCAATGTTCCTATCATATTTGCTACCAATTTGGGGATTTAGACTTAAATCCCATTCTGGTGTCAAGGAAACATATATATATATCAATTCAAATCTGACTGAAAAATCTTTGTGTTGTAAAAATAAAAACCTGACAGGAGCATGAGAAGACCTAAAGAGGTATTATGAAACAGCACGTTGTCACAGAGCTGCTTGCATTCTGCATCACTTTAGAACTTCTGCACAGATTCTAGTGCCTTCCTGCTGGCACGGCTTATCTGTATTCCCTTCTAGCATTATCATTTAGTATACTCAAAAAATAACCCACTGAAAATGGTTCTAGTTGACACCATGGGAGGGCAAAAATGCTTGTGCTAGAAACTGCTACAAGTATTTTACAGTTGTGGGACACTTAATGAGTATACCTGGGTGAACCCTATTGAATTTTGATGGAAAGGATGAGTTGCATGTTGGCTTTCACCATAAAGGCTGATGAAATGGAAATAAAATTAAGGAGATGACACAAATTTCCCAAGGCTGGTCATAATGTCATTGCTGACACTGCTCTCTACTTTATTCTTAAGAAAAAAGGTTTATCTCCCTATATATATTGCCTTTCATTTCTTGAAGGGTTAAGCTCACATACCAATAAGTGAGTTCTTCAGAAAAACAAACAAAACAAACAAACAAGCAAACAAAACCACAACACCGTATCACAAGTTATGTTGTGTGGGAAACTAGACAAAATGGAATTAGCAATGTTCTCCACATCAACAGCGCACAACATGATCTTGTTAAAGAATTATACTGCCTCATAATCCTCAAACAAATGACATTATGCTATAATGGATTGTTTTTTACTTCCCAAGCAGAAGATGGTAGGTTTGTTTTTCCCATTAAACTTAATTTTCATTTCAGGCACAAGATAAATGATACATTGATGTATTTACTTATCCTTTTCTTGAAGTTTACAGCTGGGAAAAGGAAACTTATTTTTTGTCTATTGGTGTAAACAAAGCTGACTCTCCTGATTCATAATTTTATATATATATATATATATATATTTTTTTTTTTTTTTTTTCTGCTGCTCTGAGTCTGAGTATTGATGGAAGAAACTGATGGTTAATCAAATGCACTTGCCACTCTTGATAGCAAACAAGAATGAATTGTTAAATAGACCATTTATTTCATCTTCTCCTCACAAATAGGAAAAAAAATACTCCTAAAATAATTATAACTAATAACTTCCAGGTTCTTGCATTTCTCTGTTGCAGGAAATACTGACTGGGAGAGGGCATTCTGACTGAATTTAGTCATCTAGCCTGCAGAACATCTCCTTAACGCATATATATAACTGATAATGGTGATGTGAAGAAGGTTTCAAGTCAATTGAAAATTTTATATCATTTTCTTGTTTTTCACTATTCTTATTCAATGCTTCCATCTTTAAATTAAACATTTACAGAGGAAAAGCACAAATATATCTTAAAAAAAAAAGGAAGAAAAAAAAGTGAAAGAAATCATTCTTGTTTAAAAATACATGTATATATATATATTTAAACCAGACTTGTTTAACAGATGTTAACACATCTAAATAACGTTGATCTCCTTGAGAATATATTTCTTAGATACAGAATTAAAAGTCTGAAAAACATGTCAAATACTTAAAAATCTTTAGATACTTTTGGCCCCTAGCTATTAGCTACTAATAACTCCTTTGCTGCATTGGATTGAGAAGGAAGTAATCTCACTGCAAATTAAAAAGCCTTAAAAGCAAATACAAATATATAAGAGCTCATTTTATTTCTGAATTTCCCGGGCCTATCCTGTCTTGTTGCCACACTCCTCAGTTTCTTTTCACTGTGACAATGTTTTCTGCTAAATTGAAAATAAATTAATAATTGTGCAGTAGCAAGGATCTTGTCATGCTAATTTTTCTTATTGTGGTCATGTTTTCTTTATGGTAGCTCAGTAAAATATGATCTCCCAAAACACTGCCATCAGCAGCCAATTTGGAACAAAGTTCAGTCTCAAAAAAAGAAAAAGAAAAAAAAAATTAACAGAATTTGAAAGATGGTTATATCTTCCATGATGGATCCCACTTTGACATTTTTAGTGAATTAAAATAGGAATATCAAGGGTGTGTCGTACTGTTTCTTGTTTTTATCTTTCCACCCAGTGGAAGTACAGTCCACCATTGTAGACTATACCATTATTCTTCCCTGAGAAATGGTGAAGGGAATATTCCATTGTGACCTATAAAGACCATCATAATTTGCATAACACTGAAGTGAATTTATTTTTTCCTCTGCTGAAGACTACAAATTTTGCAGGAGAATGAAGTATAGAAATGTGCATATTTTCCAGAGGGTGCAGATACCATGAAGACAGAAGAGCTTGTACTTACTCTTTCTCATCAACACATACATACATGGGATAAAGGCCAGATTCTGAATCTGACTGAATTTCCCTTTTTCCTCAAAATCAGAATCTTCCTCAGCCTTTCACATGGATCAGGCAGATGATGACACCATGTACTTTGGATTAATCCTTTAATTTGCCACCTTTACTCTATCTTTGAGTAGCAGTATTAGAAGTAGCAGTTTTGCCTCCTGTGTCCACACCTCCAGCATATCTGTTTCATGGCTGAGCAGGCCTGGCAACACAGTGTAAAGACAACAGCTCCATATGATTCTGCTCAAAACTATTACTAAGATACCAAGAAGAAATGGGATGATATATAGATAACAGACATTGTATGGGAATTCTGCAATATATTTACCTAAACACACTAAACATTTCCCAAACACTGGGTTGGTGTAAACAGATTAGTTACAAGATGTCTGAAGGAACAATATTTTTGCAGCAAAAGTAGCAGAGGTAAAGGAATAAACAGCTAAAAAAAGTACCCATGAAAAGCTTCAAATAAACAGGAGGGGTGTTTGTTGAGTATGCTCTCACTATAAAAACTGTCACAGAAAAAAGAAAAAAAAAAAAAGACCGTCTGCTCACAGGTGCAGGAAAATGCATTCATTGTGAAGCTAAGGATTTCTGTACTGAATGGGAAACTCAAATTAAAAGAGATACAGCTTACTGAACCACATGTCCTCTCTCCTACCCCTAGAATTTTTTGCCTTGCAGGATGGGTAATCCAGTCACTATTTTCTGTCAGACAGCCACTTCACCTCAAAGTGGTTGCTGTATGTCAGCAATCCTTAGAGAAGCCTGAAGCCTGGTGAAATCCAAAGCCATATAGAGCTACAGTAATATTTCTTCCTACAGTTCCTAGTGACTGTTTCCTAACATTCTCTGTAAGGTTAGAACAACCCCTCCCCCCCCCCCCAAAAAAAAACAAAACAAAAATAAACAAGCAAAAAAAAAAACACCAGATTGCATTGATTGCATTATCCTTAGACTCTAAGAAATTTTTTGGCAATCAGGCTGAGAAGATGACCCAGATCTGGTTAAGGGCACTGAGGCTCTGGATTGAACACAGAATGAAAGTTAGACACCTCAAAATAAAGTTCACTCTAAGGTGGAATTTGCTTACAACTAGAAAATAGAGAAAGCTGATCCCTCCTCAGAAAATAAGCACCTCATTCAGAGATGCAGGAAGTGACTGCCTATTCCAGTCACATCCTTTCTAGAGAGTAGGCAGGAGCACAGCTGTTCATTCAAAGAACCAGGAAGCAATTGTTCACTTACAGAGATATAGCCGATGGACACAATTCTGTCTTTCTAGTAGTAGATTCAGGGGGAGAGTACTCATTCAGGACTGGGAGACTTCAACCAGGTTTACACTGCAAAGCAAAATAGGGAAGGAGACTGTTCTCTGCCTCTGAAGCCAACAGACAGAGACTGATCCTGTCAATATAACATATTGTACTGGATCACTCTATGTTGTGGAATAAGAGGTGGAGGTTGTACTGGGTCTGGCTGAGATGGAGTTAACTTTCCCTGCAGCAGCCCATACAGTGCTGTACTCTGCACCTGTAGCTAGAACAGCACTGGTATCACACCACTGTTGTGTCTATTGCAGAGCAATACTGGCACTGCATCAGGACTCCCTCCAAGTCCCCCAGAGCCAGTAGGCTGGGGGTGCGCAAGAGGTGAGGAAGGAACATCACCAGGACAGCTGACCTAAACCAACCAAAGGGATATTCCATACCTTATGATGTCACACTCAGCAATAAAAGGTGGAAAAAAGAAGAAGAGGGAAGGCGTAGGCTCTTGTGAAAACATCTGTTGTCCTCCCGAACAACAGCTATGTGTGTTGCAGTCCTGCTTCAAGGACGTGGTCAAACATCACTCACTGGTGGGAAGTAGAGAGTAATTTCTTTCCTCTGTAATTCCACATGGCTTTTGCTTGTTTATTTATTTATTTATTTATTTATTTATTTATTTATTTATTTTTATTATTTTATTTGTTTTGTTTTGTTTTCCTCTTCACATTTAGTTAAATTTTTAATTAAAAATAAGCTTCCCTTAATAATTATTTTTTATTTAATTAAAGTATCCTTATCTCAACCGGTGAGTTGTTTCTTTCATTTTCTTCTTCCCCTTGTCTTCTGAGGGGGAGCAAGAGAGCGGTTGTGGTGGAGTTCAGCTGCCTAGCAAGGTAAAACCATCACACATATCTATTGCTCTTCATATCTCTTTGGCCCACAAAGGACACTAAAGCCCTAAATGGAGTTTCTTCCTTCCTTCCTTCCTTCCTTCCTTCCTTCCTTCCTTCCTTCCTTCCTTCCTTCCTTCCTTCCTTCCTTCCTTCCTTCCTTCCTTCCTTCCTTCCTTCCTTCCTTCCTTCCTTCCTTCCTTCCTTCCTTCCTTCCTTCCTTCCTTCCTTCCTTCCTTCCTTCCTTCCTCCTTTTCTTTCTTCCTTGACAATCTCAACTGCAAGCAAAAGTAAGAGGATATTCTCCACCTCTCCTGCACACCCACCTGATAAGTGGAGAACATGGAGTTAAGAGTGCATGGCTGGATCTAAGTATCTATGCTGGAGGAAGGGTGCTGGGGTTCCCATTTCCTCCCCATAGGATCATGTGTCTTGCAGCAAACAGCTGAGGATAAACTCCAAAACTGCATGACTAGGTTCCTGTCTGAGGAAAGCATTGGGCTTACATTTGGTGACTCACTTGTCAGCCTTTTAGAAAAGAGAATTAGGGGGTCTGTTTGTATGTGTGTATATGTCAGGTGTACATGTGTGTCCCAACTCCAAAACTTTTGAAGAGATGCTGATTTTGGTTTTGGATGCATTTTCCAAGGAGCTTAGCACTGTCAGCCTGGGCATATTTGAAGCCCATCTACTGGATTGAAAACCGTAGAAAACTTAAACAAAATAATGACTAGTAGTTATATTCCAACAGTGCTTCAGGGAACATTGACTGAACTGCGCTAGCTGGGGCAGTCAGTACATACATGGAGAAGAGTCCCTAAAGGAGTTAAAAGTCAAACACAGAGGTTTTTACTGAGCAAGGGTGTTCCAGGATCAGAAAGTGGCTGTTTTTCTATTATTATTTTTGCCCTCAGTTTCATCTCTGGTCTGTTCCAGATCTTCTGACTTGCCCTGTCTTTTGCATATTGATGCTGAAACAGGGCAGCCTTGGGTGTAAAAACCACAAAAGAGGCAAAATCGCTTTCACCATTGATCAGGTATAAAACATGATTTTTCAGCTCTCTATTCCAATCAATACCTGTTGTGCCCTTTCTGGGAGTAATGTAGTTTAGGATTCTTAGAAGGCTGACTTTTGAATATGGATCTCTTTAACTCCTTTCCTCTGCAGATTAATTTTGTTGTGTCAATATTTATGTTATAATCTTGGAAAACTCTATGTTTGCCTTTGGGAACTTACCCAGGATTTGATTGTCTGGTTGAAAGCAGTCTGTTTAGTGTATGTAAAAGATTTTTCAGGTCAGGCAGAAAAGAAGTAGGTCAGATCTTATATTCCCAAATTTTGATCTGACGGATGGGAAAACAAAAATAAAACGGCATCACATGACTTAATGCTTATTCTTTGAGACTATTTTTCTACTAGAGTTAGTCTGAGGACACTCAGACAAATCTGTATACACAGATACCAGGGCAATGACTAATAGGCAAGCTCAGTTACATGAAAATAGGCACATCAGATGCATTAACAGCTATGTGAACCAGGTATTCATTTATTCTTACTTTCCTTTGTTTGCCTTGAAACTATAGCACAGGCAGGAACAGTAGAAGATAGAACAAATTTGTCTTATATTCAGCTAATAGCGTATGGAGTTGTTATCTGCACACCTCATTACTATGTCTTACCAGTCTTGGGCCAAGATGTATATCTGCTGTCATTTTTTTTTTAAATGCTTGATTACAGTTTTAATTAAATTAGCTTAAAGCTTCAATGACAAATTGTGTAGCCAAAGCCTTTCAGATCCTTTCTCCTCTATGAGTTACAGCTTCTGAAATAGGATTCTGCAGTAACACCATTTCTATGTAAGTTTTTTAACAGCAGCAATAGAGGTGATAATGTCCTGGACCTTCAACAGCCAGGTGTCCATAAAATAGCTCTTCCCTGGGGAGCTGAAAGGAATGCAAAGGGAAGCATTAAGTAGCTTGGCTGGCAGCCGTGGCTTTGCCTGTACTGTGGGAAAACTTACTGCAGTGTCACAGCCCTGCTACCATCAATTAGCGTCAATACACACAAAGAGCACCAGATATAAGACCAACGTTCTGGAAATATAACAAGCAAAATGATGTTTTGCAGCAAGGCTGAGCTTCCACTTTGTATGTGAAAGAGGATCCAAGAAAGGGAAAACAAAAACAGATTAGTCATACATCTAAATTTAGGGGTTTTTCCGTATATGCTACTGTTTCAGATAGGTCATGGAAATTAATGAAGTCAGTGTTATGAGATGAAAAGAATCTCATAGTGACCTGATGTGAACTCATGAAAGCCTGATAGGAGGATTTGACAGAGAATGTTTGGGACCTTTTTTTATCATCCAATGGCTCCTTTTAACAGTAACTCCTATCATGCTGTCAGCAGAGCAAATAAATTTGGCCTACTTCTCAGTCCTCCCCTCTAGTTTGTTCTGAAAACTGACTTGATTTTCTCACTCTGCTTGAAGACTGCCTATGATTCTTATGTAATGAAGAAGGGACCTGACCAGAAGCATTGCCCACAGACAGTATACATACCTCCTTTTCAAAGCGAGGGGAAAGACAGGGCACGCAACATATCTGCTCCTACCCTTTGCTGGTTATTGGGTAAAAAGCTTAAGAATGAGGACTGTTAACCATTGGTTTTTCATTTATGTTTGTAATCTCCCCTCTGCATTTCTCTTTGCTGTGCAGTTCTGTACTGGCACTGTAAAAGAGGTAAACATAACAGTCTACAGAAACTGAATCTGACACACAACTATCCTAATTTGCATGGTTGACACTGCTAACTGCTTCCCATGGGTAACAGGGCCAACAATGACTTATCCTTGCTGTCAGTGTGTACTCACCAAGGACAGAATAAAGCTTGCAAACTGGAATTCAGGCTGGTTAGTATGGTTAATAGTCACTGAGATCAATTTTCTAGTATCTAAATTCATCAACTTGGTGGTAATGGCTAAAGCAAGGCTTACAATCCACCCTAGGCTATCAGTATCTGTATCAGTATCTGTGGGCCTCTTACCCTGGTATGCTGTCGTATTTACTTGCATTTCTTTAGTTTGTTTATGTAGAAATGAACTCACAGTGTGATTTTAATGTTTTTTTTTTTTTGTTTGTTTGTTTTGTTTTGGTTTTGTTTTTGAGATTTGCGTCCTAGCTAAAGGCATATTGCTCATGTGATCAGTGTATGTAAATCAGCATCGGCCCAGTATTAATCATAATTTGGTAGGCCTGCAGATTCAATAATAAATGTTATTTTTTTTTTCCTGTACATTGTTCTAAACTGTACACAAAAAAACACAGGCTTTGCTCTCATTGAAAGGGGTAATGGGTGTGACTTCCTGCTAAGTAGTAGAAATAATGAAATCATTACCTAAGCCAATGCTAGACAATCCAACTTGAATACTGGTAGCAGCAGAAGTTAGTACAGAGATCTGCCTGAGTTAAAATTGTGGCTTATCAAACTGCTGGCACTTGAATGAATTCATTTACAGCTACCATCATAATCTCTGTATGATGCTGCATTGCACCATCTAGACTAATGTTGAGGCCTAGGTTAAAAATATAGGGGTTTTGAGAACCCAACTTTTGAGGTTAGATCTTTACCTAGCTGTCCAAAACCAGTCCCATAGTTCCTTATGAATAGCTTGGATGAATGATATGCTGATGGTGTAAGCTGGTAAGAACCCTTTCTGGGGGTGATGAAGCTATTGTTTTTGGTACATTCTACCCTGGAAAGCAATAAAAGAAACCCTGGTTGACTCAGACAGAAATCTGTCTGATGACACCAATTGAAATATAATTCTCTTTACAGCCCTCACTCTCTTCAGTTTACTTACATCTCTGGCAGAAAACTTGCCAGTGATTATGTAAGAGCAAGACTTAAAGAGCAATTCAGAAGACTTATCCATATGGGACCTAAATATATTTCATAGAAGTATTCTAGTCTAGTATTCTATATGTGTGGTAATTACCTCTAAAACAGCAGCTATTTTTCATTCAATTATTTGTACAGAAAGAGAATACATATATCAAAGTGGAAAAGTTCATTGAATTACAAATGGTCATACCATCTTGAGTAAAAACACTATTTCAGAGACAAGAAAAAGAGCCACTGACCTATTGAAACCTGTGTCCTCATGTTTCTACTACACAGTAATACACTTTTATAAAGCCAGTAGTTTTTAAGCAGTGTTTAACCTTCAGTTTCTTAACTTTTAGCACCTGGGATGTAGACAAAAGTATTTGCTTGTCTGTCTGCTTATGTACTCTTCATCATAGTGTTTTCTAAAAAAGAGGACCTGAGTTTTTCTAGATCTTATCAGTTCTGCTTCTGATAACAACATAAAGCTAACACCTCAAATTGTCAAACAGTATGCTGAGTTCTCTAAATTTTGTACTTTTCCATAAGTGACTTATCTTGTGGATTAAACCTTTCCATGCTTCTGGACAGAGAGCTTAGTTTGGTTACAATCATATTCTCTTAATCTTGTGGAAAGGTACAAATTCAAGCCCTAATGTGTATTGCTCTTTGACATGGCTTTTTATTTTTTAAGAAATGGATAAAATTCTAGTTGCATTATTTCCCTTACCTTGGAAATTGGGAAAAATAGTAACTCTCTGTCCCAGATGGAATACATAAGATATATTTCCTTGGTCAATTAAATATTTTTAAACTTAAATATAAATTAT